AAGATTTGGGATAAACGTGGCTGTCTATCTAGTGGTTCCTACTGTACAAAAGAATGCTGGCCAGTAAATGAAAGGATAATTTCTTTTATGTAAAGATTAGAGCAAAACTGGTTCCTGATGTGAATGTTAAAATGTCCCAAATGTCCAACTTTTTCCAAACTGCTGTTATCACTCATTATTTCTACCATCAAGTCCTCTTCCTCTTCCACTTAATCATCTCCCTCCCAATTTCTCATTGTAATTCATTACAATGCTTCACGAAACTTATGAACTGTTCAGGAAATGGCTTTATTGTGGAGGTTGGCAAATCCCAAGTCCATGGGTTAGGCATCAAGTTGGATGCGTCTCCTGGCCCACGTGGTTTGGTTGCAGGGACTGATAAACCCAACTCAGCAGGCCAGGTGACAGACTGCTGGCTGACAAAGATGCTGAAGCTGGTGAATCATGTTGGACACAGACTGCTGGCTCAAGAACCCAGAGCTAAATATGACAAGCTGGATGTAGGATCTAGAGCAAATAAGGAAACTTTGCCAGAGCAAGAAAATCCCCCTTACTTGCGCAAGGCAGTGCAAGGGTGTAACTTACATAGCGCTGGTGACTGGGGTAGGGCTGCTGGCTTGAGCCACCTTCTAGTAAGATGACTCAAGACTGCCAATCCTGCCTCAGTATTGTAACGGACAACTCACTCACAAATGGGAGCGTAACTGCAGGCATAAAGACTAGGATTCATAATACATCACAAAATGGTAGGTATTAACTCAGATCACAAAACCGTGGACAATAACATCATTACATAACTGTCAAATAACTAAAAAGGATGGCCCAGCCAAGTTGGCATATAAACTTAGCTATCACAGGTTCCATATACTTTATTTGCATTAGCTGTTCTTATTAAGTGCCATTAAATTATTCGACTCTTTGCAAACCTATTATTACTAGAACGACACACTTGCCCAGTCCTGCACCATTCTCCCAACTGTGATTATTTGAGTCCATTGCTGTAACCATTGTGTCACTCCATCTTGAGGTTCTTCCTCTTTTATCACTGCCCATCTGCTTTCGTAAGCATGATGTCCCTTTCTAGGGACTGGTCTCTCCTGTATATGCCCAGTGTACATGAGCCTCGCCATCCTGTTCTTCTAAGACAGATGTTTGTTCTTCCTGTAGTCCAAAAGGGACTGGTCTCTCCTGTATATGCCCAGTGTACATGAGCCTCGCCATCCTGTTCTTCTAAGACAGATGTTTGTTCTTCCTGTAGTCCACAGCACTTTCAATATTCTTCACCAACACCCTTTAATTCAAATGTATCATTTTCTTCTGCTCTTTTCCATTACTCAGTCCAAACTCACAAGTGTATGACACAACTGAAAGTACCCCTTAGTCTTCAATGTGACATCTTTGCATTAGCAGCAAGCTGTTCAATTCCTTTGGGGGATTGTACAGGACAATGGCTATGGCTATAAAGGCTATATATATTAAGCAACAAGTCACTCAAAGTCTACCTGATACTTTACATCTCTCGAAGAAATTTTAAAACTAATATTTTGTTTTATCAGTTCATTGTGAGAAAAGTTTTTTAAAAGCTTTTGCAATGAATTCTTTATTTAATGGATACTCATGTGCCTATTTAACATTTCTGTCACCTTTCTTCTTCAGTGAAAGTGCTCCTATAGTATTAGTGGGAGTAGGTATGTGACTGGGTCTCTCATTGTACTCACCCTATCCTAATTTAAAGTGTAGCCTAAATTGGTGTTAATTCTCTAGAATTTAAACAATGAAGCTAGGAAAAGAGGTAGTCTTATTCCTCAATGTACAGGCTCAAAAAAGGTATGTGGTGGCCCCAGTATAGCAGATAGCCAAGCTCACTCCTGTGGAGAAGTCTAAGCACAACCTGAGACCATGAGAGAAAAAATAGAGACAAGCACCTATGAGAAGTAGAAGCAGTTCTGATACACTAATAGTACTTTAAGAACAGCTACATCCTTAGCCTTTCCAGTTTTTGTTATCTTTTCTACTTTTTTCCTGGTTTTTGAAGGTACATTTCAACCCAAGTATATTCCAAGTTGCCTTTTGTTATTTCCAATCAAGAGAGACCAAGTATCTAATGTTGGTTTCCAATACTACCATTCTCTACTACATTACCTGTCCAATATAAGAAAGTTGTGTGGGAAACAGGATTTCTCTCAAGCTGTCTCCCCCAAATATATGCCAGACTTAGCTGCTTGAGAATGACTATACACTTGGAGGTCATTAGAAGTAGATTAGGGGTCCTTCTCTCTAAGAGCTTTCAGCCATCTAGACCAAGCAGACACCACTGTTTATCCCACAAGTAGGGCCCACTCCCTTCTGATAAGGATAGTAGTTGTCTGTTTCCTTGTAGGAGACACCAGAGAGGTCAAACCCACCCTAGGAGGACCAAGGTTAGACTACCATCATGAATCTGGGGTCCACCCATCTTGTCACATGTATAACCCTAGACCTTCCCATTCCTATGGGCACACCCCAAGCTCATGCCCTTCCTGTTCCGCTTATGCCTATCATAGATCCCCTTCCTACAATGTGTATGCCTATTGTACTGCCCCTTCCTGTGATGTGTGGTTACCTGTAATCATGTCCCCCTAAAGAGATATAAGGATTGGTTGGCAATAAAGAAACGATGTACAAATGCACTTTACACAATTGATGTGTGTATGGATTGGGATAACAGTTGTATGAGCCCCTAATAAAATGTTAAAAAAAATTAAAAAGAAAAAAAGAAAAGCCCTCTCCGGAACCCGGGAAGCTCTCACCCGGGAGGCTCTCCCCGGTCCTGGCTTCCCGGGGCCCTCTCTGGCTTTCGGGCCAGAAGAGGCTCCCAGGTTCTCAGTCTCTGAGGCTGCTCCTGCTCTCGTGGCCAGGTTCCCCCCACGAGGACCACCAAGCAGAGCGTTGGTAAGCAATGCTACCATGAATTGTGTCTGACTCCATTACTTGACTCTATCTTCTACCTCTTATACCCTTTATGACTTTACTATAATCTTATTATTGCTGTACAATTGCGCCTACCGGACCTGTGATGATTTGTGGGGGACCCCTCTCTCCCTTAACCCCACAAAGTTGTACTCTCAGCAAGAATTTAAAATTTTTGCTAGGATAAGGCATATTACATACATAGTATGGTATTTTAGTGCAAAATCTTGAAACATTTAAGCTGGAACTTCTAAAATTTGGACAAGGAAGAATTGGGGTGTACTGAAAAGAAAACTGTTTTGGAATTAGGAGACCAAGATCCTCAACCTGTCTTGTACTGGCAAATATTTCTCAGCAAGCCACAATTTCCTCAACTGAAATAAAGGAATGTTTGACAGTATTTGTAAGGATGCCTCTAGAGTTGAAGTTCCTGAATCATCCTGAGGAATTTTAACTAACTCAAATACAACTTTCCTTTTTCTTATTCAAAATATACTCTTAAAACAGAATTCTCCTGCAATGTAGCAATGATGAAAAATACAACTTTCCTCTAGTTCCTAAATGCTTCCTCCCCGCCCCCACTATCATGACACTAATTCTACCTTGCAAGTCTGGATAGACCAGAGGATGTACACTGGTACAGACAGATAGGAACTGGAAACACAGGAAATCCAGCGCGGATGATCCCTTCAGGACCAGTGGTGTGAGTGGCGATACTGGGAGGGGGTAAAGGGAGAGTGGTTTGGAAAGGGGGAACCGATTACAAGGATCTACGTGTGACCTCCTCCCTGGGGGTCGGACAACAGAAAAGTGGGTGAAGGGAGATGTCGGGACAGGGCAAGACATGACAAAATAATAATTTATAAATTATCAAGGGTGCATGAGGGAGGGGGGAGCAGGGAAGGAGTGGGGGGGGGAAATGAGGAGCTGATGCCAAGGGCTTAAGTGGAGAGGAAATGTTTTGAGAATGATGAGGGCAATGAATGTACAAATGTGCTTTACACAATTGATGTATGTATGGATTGTGATGAGTTGTATGAGCCCCTAATAAAACAATTGAAAAAAACAAAAACAAAAACAGAATTCTCAGATTGCAGCCCAACTTCTAATCACTAAGCTTTCAGGGACTGTTAAAACAGAATTCTCAAACAAGTGCTTCCTCCTAAATAAGAAACGTGAACCCCCAAATAAAGACACTCAATAGAATGAATATTTAATATAAATCCAAGTCTCTTAGATAACGCTTTTTTAATTTTCCCAATTATTTTGCATAATTTGTCCTGTCAATAATATAGCCTTCATAAAATTAAAATTAGGTCATCTGCAATAGCACAAAGTATTTTCAAGAAGATATACATGAGGCAGGGGCAGGGTGAGGTGGGGGCAGTTTTAATGAAAATCCTAAGCAGAGAAGTAAAGTGGCGTGAAAAGAAAGAACCATGAATTAGAAATAAGGAGACTGGGGTATAAAGAATTTTACTCTCTATATTAACTTCCCTCCAAGATGTCTAATCCAAGTCTTCAGGTTCCTAAGAGCTACCTCCGTGAGACTTGATTCGGCTAGTCGCTGTCTAAGTTGAAAACAAAAACTTGAGGAAACTTTTCGAAAACGCATTTCCAAAGCTCAGGCCCCAGGTCTACTCCACATGCGAGGCCACATGGGTTCCAAAAGTGAGCCGTTGCCACCGACGGATGAGAGCCCTCAAGTTCGGGATAAATACCGACGGGACCCTCGGGAGGCCCTTTAGTCCAGGTGAGTCCCGGCCCCCGAGCTGACAGTGCTGAGGCGGTCCCCGTCGCCCCACACTCAGTGGACCCGACGCGGCCCGGCCGCGGGGTCTCGGGAGAGGAAAGGGGGTGTCTAGCGGCCTGGGTGGGCGCGGACCGCCACCGGGCGGGGGCTCCGCCCACAAGTCCCGGGACGCCCTCCCCTGAGGTGGCTCGGGGCTCCGACGGGCTAGGGACTTCGACGGTTGGGGCCTGGGGTCGTCCCTCGGGCAAGAAGCCACCGCCGGAGGCCTGCGCGTGGCAGCTGCCGGACACTGACTCACCTCGGCGTCGTCTTTGCACTGAGGGAGGGAAGGGAACTCCAGTTTCACGTCCTCCATGGTCCCGGCCCGCAGGCGGGTGGATGCGGTGGGAGGGCGCGTTCCCCGGTCGACCGGACCCTCGGGCAGGCAGCGGCGACGAAACGAAAGCCGGTGGACCGGAGGACTGGTGGGTGAGCGGCAGGCTTACCACGAACACTCGCAGACCAAAGGATCCCGGCGACCCCGGCGGCGGCGGCGGCGACAACGGGGAAGAGAAGGGTAGAGCGGCCCGTACCCGGCCGCCATGCTGCTGCCTTCTCCCTTCCCCAACGTCTCCGCGCCCCTCAGGCCGCCCAAGCTCAGGAACAAGCACGAGCCCTACAACCGTTTCCCCTCCTCCATTGTGCTTGTTTCAAACAACTCCCCCACCCCTGCCCCAGGAGATGCTTGAGTACCGCACCAGGCATTTTGAAAAATAACCAACATTTGCAGCGTTGACAATCAAATAAGCTTGAGCGACAGCAAATGAATAGGACTTGGAAATGGCTGAACAGCTCTTGT